ATGAAATTCACAAAGCTAGTAATTGGATCTATATACCGAACTGTGAAATATAAAATTATAATGTACAAATTCATTCTCGAATAAATGATTTTTGAATTTTGAATTTTTGACATTCATGTTGTATAATCAAACTTAATGTATTGATGTTAGAGTGATGGGTATTAGATCTAATAATAAATTACCCCTTATCTATTACATAATATTACATATATTTTTGTGTCATATTTTTGGTAAATACATTTAAAAATATACAAAGAAAACTGATGTAGTTATAAATATTTGAGTGAACCCGTAATCATCGGAGGGTGAAACAGTGTGTTAAACTACTGCAACATCAAGGTCAATGTATGTTGTGTGCATAACACGCAATGTACAAATATAATTTTAAAAAGATATTGCTACATGTACACATATTAGAGATATATACTGCCCAATACAGAGGTATTTTAATGAGCTATAATGTAAACGAAACGCAGTATTATTGTGTTGTTGTGCGCAGTATGTTGTATATGTGTGTGTGTGTGTGTGCGTGTATGTGTATTGAGCACATATATATGTGCCCAATATACATATAAACATTTAGACATTTAGTTTTACATTATATTATTATATTATATTAGTTTAGTTATATAGCATGCAAAGGAACTAGTATAAGTTATATAGTATGTAGAAGTTAGTGTGTGTGTGTGTGTGTGTGTATGTGTGTGTGTGTGTGTGTATGTGGAATGTTAATATAATTTGAAAATTTCTTTAACGTTCTCAACTCTCTGCGAATAATTTTTGTTGACGTAAATTTGTTAGCGGACGGACGCCCGATGGCATTTCGTAATTGACATAGATAACTGCGCACCGATTTATTTGGCGCAACAACATTTAGGATGTAACTTGAATAAAAACTCAGTGAATTCAGTTGCATCCAGTGTTACGAAAACGACGCTATGTGCAGAATTCATATGGCCAAATCGATTTGGCTGACAAAAAATTGGCCTTACGTGAGATTATCCTAAACGACATCACAAATTGTTTGTTCCTATTAAAACATCACTTCCGACTTTGTTAATAAAAACATGTACAATATAGAACAAATGTAAATACTCGTATATACGTACAGAGAAATATACTACCCTGATCGTATCTGGCTGACATTTGTAATGTTGTGTCGCTATTTTTCTATTAAAACTCTTCATATAAATGTATTCTATATATGACCTATATGTATACCTCATTCGACTCATTTGAAAGTGATTAAGTAATCACAATTGAAACATCTAAAATATTTTGACAATTTTTACATATATACTGTTTGGTTACAGAGTGCAAAGTCTGTACAAAGTAGTATTATATTAGGATAGTATGGTATCATTAAATAAAGTATGCAGTGTTCAACTTGTTTACAGAAAAAAAAAATTAATAAATATGAGTTGTTTACTAATATGCATTATATTAGTGAAACGGCATTTTACCGGCACAAGGAATGAAGGACAAAGGTCACTATTTAACACGGTCATTCATCAAATTCATCAAAACATTAAAATTAACTAACGATCTTTTATGGATATACGAGTAAACAGCACCATGGAAATCACAGATCACACTTTACAGCACACGTGTTATCCTTATGTGATGCGATTTCTAAGAACTATGGTGTTATGTCTCCACACTCTATATTTTCACTAGCATATTACACTTATTGTCGTATGGTTGCAGCATAGAATTGGCCACTCATTCCTTTCCCATGGGTGTCGTAAGAAGCGACTAAGAGAACATAACGGTCGAGAGATGGACAGGAGAGTCCCTCTTGAAACATCTCCAAGGCCTAACTGTGGTTGCTAACCTGTCTGCCAAGCGTGGCAACTACTGACAAACCCAAAAGGGAGGCCTGTGTTCAGCAGTAAACAATTATCAGCTGATATGGTATATATATATATATATATATATATATATATATATATATATATATATATATATATATATATATATATATATATATATATATATATATATATATATATATATATATCATATATATAGAATACATTTATATAAACTTTTACCAGAGGGAGACTTTGTACAAAAGGTTCGGTTTGAAGGGTGGGATATGGCGTAAATTTACAGGGTACAGAGGAATAACACCTGAGTCCTCAGGAATGGCAACGCATGGGGGGTATCATGGGCGAAACAGTATACTCTGTTATGTCCATGGTACTGCTCATGTTTATAGGCGACGGTTATCACTTTCCATCAGGTGGACCATCAGCTTGTTTGTCATTCTAAGTTGTATAAAAAAAGACCATTCAAGTATAACTATTAGCAGAAAATTTATTGAAAATTGGAAGGTTAAGGTATTTATTGTAGGCACAGGCCTTGAGTCTCTTTTTTAGGGCCCAATCAATAACTACAATGTAGTGCAGAATTTAGTGCAAACCAATTATAGAATCATAAATGTTCATACCATATACAAAATTAATCGTAAAAGTAATACAATTGAAGTAATATTAGTTGAAATTGATCACAATTAAATAACGCAAACACAAAAGGCGAAAGAATGTGAGCTGACGCGTTGAAACTTTATTATTAACCATTTAAGTGTAAAATATCTAAGACACACTTTAATACTTGAATTACTGAAGTTTTTAAAAGTTATTGCGCTATTTTGCACTTATTGGACATTTTTTGTAGTCAATTGTATCGTTAAATTGTTGAAATTCTCATGTTTGTTATGTTAATAACATTTAATGAATGTCGTTTGAGGTTTTTATATTCTGTTTTTATAATTATCATATTTAATAAACATTCTTGGCATGTTTTTTTGTGGCAAATAAAAATATTCATTGAATATTTCTAAGTTCTTCTTTTGTAATTAAACGTTGATTATCCAACAGGACGCAAATATTTTTATCTTTATTTAAATGACAAAACTATTAATATGGCGAAATTCTGACATAACACAATTTGTAAAACATTGATATTAGGTCCACATTTTTACTCCTTACCGGAATTTATCCTAGAGAGTACAGTATGGGGTTCTTCAAAAGGATATATTAAGATTTCTTGAAGGTCAGCAACACACATGTGACACCCCTAGTGTATCAGGCGTGCTAGTGCTGTAGTGGCTGTCCATCTTCTGGTGGGCTGTATGCTTGTTTGCCATCTTCGAAGTATAAAAAAAGCTATAATGTCTCAATCCTGTGAGAAAATAGAAAAATTTATTCGAAATAAATTTAAGCAGAAAATATAAATTAAATTTATTAATAAAATAAAACGATTTATGAAAGAAAAAAAAATACTGCGCCCACCGCAAATAAATGGGAAAAAGCAAAGCAATGATTATAATTATTAAAAAAATAATCGTATTATTTAGAACCAATAAAAGTAGTAACAATTATTAATATTTTAATAAAAGTATACTTTATTTATTTAAAAGAAATTTGACAATAAGTAGTTGACCGTTTTAGCACGAGGTTAAATTTCCGTTGGATTTACGATCGAAGTTCACGCGGTCAAAGTTGCGGTTACAGCAACTCGGTAGTATATTGCTAGGAGAGTGAAATAAATCTCATTCAGGATATCATAAAGGATGTAAATGTATAATTAAATTAATTAAAATTTGAATAACGTTATTTTATTTCTCACACGTTATAGCTGTCGTTTCGTATTCGTTATAATGCTTAAGTGTATGAGACAATAGTACTCTGAATAATAAATTTTGAAAAACTTTACTTCCGACTTCTACTCGATGAGATTCGAACCCACATTTCACTGCTCTTCGTGTCGAGTATATTCTTATTGCAAGAGGCGACTAAAGACTAAATTCAAGGGATGGGCAGCAGCGCCCCCTTTAAAACATCACCAAAGCCTAACTGCGTTTACCAACACACTTGCATAGCATGGCAATTAATTTTTTTTTATTTTATTATCAATAAAAATACAAAGTTACAGAAATTATGTTACATTAGCATTCAGAAACCACGTAGGTTTATATTAATACTAAATACATTCAAATTATTTAAATTGTATTAAAACCATGCAAGAAGTATCGTTTTAATTTATACCTGATGTTGCTAATAATGTTATCTCGTACATCGGTGGGTACTTGCGACACCTTATGGAATACGCTTGTGTTCAGCAGTGGACAGTTGATGGCTGATATGACGTTATAATTGACACCATGGAAGGATATTTATTTATTTATTCCTTATTGACCACATTACAAAAAAATTTTGATACAAAAGGCAGACTTCATGAATGTCAGGTGGTAAATCTTTTAATTACTTTTATCAATATCATTACGATTTTAAGGAATATAGCAGCATATTACGCTATTGTTTCGCATCTCTAATATGAACGTGCCATACTTTCCGAATTATATATGCAAGAGAGCACCATCGTTCTGACGTCACACATTATTATGAACACAATACTCGCCTTTCTCTCGGTTGCATACAATTCGCTACATATTGACACTTATTCTTTAATTGCACATTAACTTAAAAAATGTGTTGGAAATATATGATTTAAATTTAAACATTAGGTATAATTATAAGTATAAATAAATATAGATTAGTAAGTGGTGATGATAGTATTTCATTTCACAAAACTTTAAAAAACCTTTATGACGCGTTTATAGACAATTTATTCTCAGTAAATTAAATCATGGGTTCGATTCTTGGGCAAGTCATTTTAGAATTTTTTTAATTAATTTGAATTAACTTTACGTATGTAACACATTACTAGATCTACGAGTATTTTAATAACATACATTTATTTTTTGAGACTAGTATTGTTCAATCGTAATTACTAGACATTTACCAGAGACTACTTAGGTAACAGTCGACTTGTAAATGAACCATCTAAATGGAAACAGCTTAAAAGATTACTAGATCGACTCTTGAGACATGAATGGCCGTCTTGCGTCCAGTGGTCGTCATCTCGATTACTTTCGACGCCGGCGCAGCCTTCGACGCGCCTCGGTCGTCAACAATCCGCAGTGCACACTCCGGCGCACCGCCGCTAGCACGCAAACAAAGCTTCCAAGCCTTAACAAATGACTGCAAGTTGGTAACTGAACTTATTTGTGTTAGATATTGTGCTCATGCTAATAGTGATCTAGTGAAGATACGACTTGTGATCAGTGAGGAGTGATCGACTATGATGATATCAAGGTAATAAAAGTTTATTACTAAGTAATTTGGTGATTGTAAAAAATGAGCTTTAGTAAATTTTGGAAAACTAAATTTGCACATTAGATTTCCTTTAAATACGAAAGCATATAAATAAATATTTAGTGTAAATAATAATTTACACAGAAAAAATAGATAAACGAACGACAAAAACACGTAAAGCAACATGTTACTGAGCGCCTGAATTTCATGCACGAGTATCACGTTGATGTCTTTTCTGAACACGACGTAGCTGCTACGCGCGGTAGCTACAGTTCGCGTAGCAACGTCTACGTTCATATCCTTGATATACATATTTTATCTTTTATATATTTATTACAAATTTTACCAAATTTTATATTTTCATTTTAAAATTTAAAGTATTTCTTGGTAAATCCTTAAGTAAAAACTACTGTCTTAAAAAGTACGTCGCAAATAAATAATATAATATTCATTTATTTAAATTTATTATTATTTTAATAGTTTGAATTAGACTAGCTCTAGCCTCTAGATTTTAACCTTCTGCTATAAATAAAAAGTCAATGTAATTCCTAGTATGGATTCTGTTAATAACTTTATGTGTGTATGTTGTAGTACTTCAATATTTTATTATTTCCCCTGATTCTAATCACTATTACATAGAAATTATAATTTATAATGGGGAAAAGGATAAGCTATAATGTTTTTGACAATGATGTCTCTTATATCATATGTAGATCTGTTAAGGTACATACACACCTTTTTTCCCATTTACTCCTATACATAATCGTTAGGAGAAACTTCAACTTTGTAATTAAATTAATGACAAAGTTGGTATACTTTCACAATTAATCATTCAAATTAATAACGTATTATATCATATATTAATGATGATGACTTAACTGTACCGTACCATGGTATTGACATGTGGATTTAAAATATTAGAAAAGCAACTGGAACGAAATTACGCCGCTTCGAACGCGGAACGAATTTTTGATTTGCATAAGTAACCATTTTTTAAGGTGGATTCAGACCAACCCATCGATTACATATTTATCCACTTTATTGGAAATTAGTTGATTTTTGCAGCTTCGTCTGAATAGGATTAGCACTTCGATTATTCTGTTTTATGAAGGTACAGAAAACATTCTTTATTTCTTACCAGAACTATACTTATGATTAGTTTTATATTTAATGTATATCGTATTTTATATATTTATTATGTATTGGTTTATATAATATATGCTATTATAAATACTTAGATGTATGTATAGTATGAATATGATTATTTGCATATGTTTTATTACCATGAGCGTTTTTTATTAGATACACTTCTTGGGCCAAATAACTACCGTCTATTTCTTTTCTTTCTATTTATTATTTTTCCCCAAACAAACTTTCAACCTTTTACACTTCCTCCAACTTTTATTTTCACGAGAAAAAGTATCTTAAGTCCTTCTCTAACGTCCAATCCATCTCATTACTACAATGTATCAAAATTTATGGTTTGAACGTAAATACGTTACAGACAAACAAAGAAACAATTACTAGTATGTATATGGATATTGTAAGAGAATTTTAACACCATTCTTTAGTAGCTCGTCTGCATTCGTAAACAATTTTGAAAGTTGTTCATTTGGTCAAAACTTATATATATGTATGTATATATTGTATAATTCTAGTATTTGTTCCATGTTTTTATTCTGTTTGAAGAAATCCGCCTACAATTTACTATTTTTTTACTACAAATTCACCATACGATGATACATCCCGTGGCGTTTTTTGGATGAATAAGGGCAAATACTATTATATATATCCAGAGCATAGTTTATCTATATAATAAGTTTCATTCGAATCCATTTAAATTGTTTAGGGTGTTTGTGTTAATAAATTTGAAATTTATACTACTAACGTCGTGTACGTTCTAATAAATTCCCATTATTTTCAGTTTATTTTCAGTTTGTTTTCAATCGGACTATTTATTGAATGAACTTGTCTAATTTATTCCGGGCATTGTATTTTTCTTGCTAATGGGTAAAATATTTGTTTTTAATTATAGCAATAAAAGACAGTCATTTTAATTTATTTTCACTCTTATGCTAATTAATTTAAATAATAGTGCTGTGGTCTCGAGCAATTTTATCTATATTGATACAATAGTCCCCAATTTTTATTTAGCCATTCACGATATACAAAAGGCGTCGAACCACTGGTTGTTCCTTACACTGTGTTAAATCTATACAGCCGGTAAAAATACTATTCTATTACTTTTAATTCGTCTGGCGAACCGTTATTTTAATGTTAAAAATTATCTCTTTTAATTTCAATTTCTCTATCGTCGTCATATGATTCGTTATCTGTCCACTGTTTGACCTCCCCTATAGATTGTAACAAGGAACGATCTTGCATCACCACTTGCATCCACTGACTCCCTACAATTCATTTGAGGTCATCACACCATCTAGTGGGATGTCGTCTCACACTTCGTTTGCTTGTACTAAGTCGACACTTAAGAACTTCTTTTCCCCATTGGTTGGTAGTTTTCGATCTATGTGACCATGTCAATGTTTTCTCCATAAACAAACAAATATATACATACATTTGTTATTTTCGTTGTCTTCGTTTCACAATATGGAAGTTATTATGTAATTCGTGACAGATGAATTCCGATTGGTTTTTTAATAGAGCATTATGTAAACTAGTTTTTTTCTCTTTCCATATTTTTTCTATTATATCTCCGTATATGTAATTAAAATTTAATCGCGATAAATATTTTAGTTATCATCATCATCACCATATCACTGTTCACTATTGAACATAGGTCTTTCCCTATTAGGAGAGTTTTGCCAGTAGTTGTCGCTCTTTGTAAGCGGTTTGAATACGCAGTTAGGCTTTAATGACATGTTAAAAGGGACACTGGTGCCCATCTCTCGACCTTTAAGTTCCCTTAGTCACCTCTTAAGACACCCACGGAAAAAGAAGGGATGGTCTATTTTATACTGGAACCATACGGCAATCTCTTATATTATTCCAAACCATGCCTTGATATATTTACTTTGTTTAGGTATTTTCGAAGTAAATTTCTTTGTACTACATATATCTAGAAAAATAAAATATAGGTATACATTTATCAGTCGTCGTATACCCCTATGGGTACAAGTACAAGTACAAGCTCTGCTTAGTTTATATCTAAACTGCTTGCTTTGTGATGTAGTATGCAATGACGCATGCAGAGCTATTATTTTTTTTAATGTAACACATTACCTACATTTACAAACATTAAATGTGCGCAAAGAAACGATAATATTTAATGTATCCGCAATAAATCTTGATCTTATTTAGATAGAGACATACAACAATCTGAAAGCTGGAATGTATGGCGTTACGTAAAGAGCCAGTCTCGTCCTACTCGTTTATTCGAGCCAAAAATAGCCGAGAGCAAGTGAAATCGGACATTATTGTAACAAAATTGTACGCTATATATAAACGTAAGGATCGGACAATCTGTCCATTGAGATACTTTTTCGCAAAAATTACTTGAAATGATAGGAAGCGACTAAATTGGATTTCAAATACAGAAAATATGCTGACGATGTGTCACTCGTCAGCATATAATCAGAAACGTGGATCGACTGTTAATGAATAGCCATTTTGTTCACATTTTGTCGAGCATATTACAATCCAATGTGACAGGAGGCGAGCGTACCGCTGTTACTTGTATTAATTTATATAATTCACTGTGTTGTGACGTCTTGATGGAAATTTATTATATACCTACGCCTGAAGATAAAGTTTCGAAATCGGTCGCATATTTTACTAACTAATAATAAAAGCATTTTAATAAAGATAACAAAATACTTACAAGTATTTTGAATAATATTATAATATAATGAGTACATTTTTCTTATAACCTTATATCTATACTATAAGTGAATATACGAAAGCGTATAAATAAAATAAAATAAATAAATAATGTGAATTATTAATAAATTTGTTATCCTGTGAGCTCCATCTTAGACTTTCCACTTTCCATCAGATGAGATCGCATTCAATCGCGGGACCCTTCAAAAGTAAAAAAGTATAGTCAGATTAATTTGGTTTATTAACGGTAGTAATTTCCATCAGCGAAGAACTGGTTGGAAATTTAAATTGACATAATTCTTTTTAAAATTTATGTTTGTCTCTTTGTTACGTCATCAAGTGAAAACGATACGGTACGAAACAACATTTAAAAATCATGTATGTTAGCCCAACTTTAAAAAGAGTTTTTTATCAGAATTAATGAAGAAGTTTATTAAACACACTTTAAGCATCTCTACTGTATAAAGTACTATTAGCATTCTCCAAGCAAATAATCATATTATATTTAAATGTCTTTAAATAATAGTTTCACTACATTTTTTAAGAATCAATTTTGTATATCACGCAGATGAAGTCACGTACAATGGTAGAAAATTCATAAAATCCCGTTATGTTTTGCACACACTAACAACTTGAAATTATACGATAGACGTAAAGCAATAAATTATATCTATTGTTGTTGATTTTTATGCAAATTTGCAACGATAAAGATCATTGAGCCAGGTCCACTAATCTAGGATAAAAATATGGCAAGCGAAAATAAAATTCAGATATCTAAATATAATTTTATTATGGTTCCGTGCATAAAAATAAATTAACTTCTTAAGTATTTTAAATAAACAATGACATAAGTACACAGTTTATTTAACTAAAAGATAGTATCATAACCTTAACTCATTTAACCTTGGTAGTTGGTTGGTTGGTTTACTGCATATGTTTTTAGACATAAATATAAAATAAATTATCAAATAAATATATAATATGTTTTATTAGATAACCCTCAAATTGTAGCAGTAAATGGAGCTATAATGTAATTTAAAAACATTCTACTCAGATGTACGAATACAGACCATTTGCATAAAAATTAATTCCAGTATAAAGTAAAATTGTTACTACTTAAAAACATATACTAGAGTTTACTATATTATTCGTGGATCTCTGAA